TTAGTGTATCTGAGACTCAATTAGGACGTCGACATGGTTTGGACTCGGTACGTACGTGCAATATTGAACGATTGCCTCAGCTGTGTGTTGATTACAGACTGTTTTTATGCACTACTAACACAGACAGACACTAAAAGACACGATAACGAACTTTTGTTTAGCTGATTAGTGCTCAGTTCTAGCTGTTGTACTAATGCGGCATGAAATGAAGATGTCCCATAACTAATGAGTTTAGAAAAAGTTATTTACTTAGGTATAGGCATCCGACTGACGTGAAATCGTAGTTTGCTACTTCTCACTGATGGAAGCTGGTGGACTGACAAAAGTCTCATGCCTTATCGTATCCGATCGACATAGGGCTGGGTCAAGTTTTGCACCTGTCACACCAAATTTGTGAAGAAAGCGATGTTAGTAGATTCCTATTCAATAACGCCTGATCTGGAGACAGGTGCATACGTGTGGTTAGTCGGGCGAAAGTTCAATATGCGGAGTGGATCACCGGAAGGCTACGCGGAACCCTTGCTGAATCACAATAAATTGTACATGAATCCAATCCAGGAAGAGATACTGGAAGTGGAGCGTTTTACGTATCTTGGAAGTTGAATCAGTTCTAATTGTAGTGTGACAGATGAGGGGAATGCACGAATGTGGCGGTTGTTATATCTGCTGATTCGCCAATTTGTGGTATCTGCTGCTGACCAGCTCCAGTGCCTAGTGCCGGAGAAAAAAGGCTCACAAAAGAGAACACAACAGCTACGTTCCGAACAAGCGAGTGAGTGCGAGAGCAAAAGTTACAACGGCCCCACGCTGTTTAAAGGGAACTGTCTGACATTGATCCAAGCTGTCTGATAGGTGTTAGTGAACACCCATCAACATCGATCATGCCTCTATGAAATGCCTGAACGCCGATCACATTCGGTCGTGCTTCTGTGGCGTGCATGAACACTCATCAGCTTTTGCTGAATTGATTGAATGATTGACTGGGCTGGATGCTTGCCGGCTTTCCTGTTGAGATTTTGGCGGAGCAGTAGTTTCCGGGCGTTCTGAGGTTACTTCCAGGAATCTGACCTTCCTGATAGCTGTTAGTTTGTCAATGACAGCACTGGAAATCTAGTTTCCAACAGGAATCGGCGTCTTGATGGCTTGGCTGGATATTTGGTCACTTGCCTCAATACCCACGTCTCCCACTGGGTCGCTCAACTCGGGTTTCTGAAGTACTGAGTTATCTTTTTAGATTATTGGGGCATGTATCAAACATGTCTGAGGTACCCCAGTAGTTAATGCCGGAAAATTCTTGGTTTGAACCCATCGTCGACTTTTCGATGGCTCCTATCTGAGCTTGAGATACTTGGCGGTATCTCATTCCTTGGGCTTCGAGTTACATAGTATTAACGCTACACTTAAGCGGTTATTTCGTCAGTTATCTATTATCCATAATTACATTCACGAACTTTGATGGACTGCAGACAACGTCATATGTTTAGCCTCGTTTTTCGATGTTATTGGGTGTGTAGGGTAGACTCATTAGGATCAAGATGCCTGTCAGAAATGCGAAGGTTATTGAATGTAGACTCTTCTAGTCTTTTATCGTTCATTCACCGGCGTTGTTGCTTTGCAGGTTCTACCAATCCATTTATTTTTGGAACGTCCCCGGATACCTATCCATGGGGTACGATGCACGAATGTGAAACTCACACTAACTCGGGTCACACAAGCACTAATTTATATGAGGATTCTCAGCATCTGAACCGTGTGTCAGACACCACAACCCAGCAGTTTAACGATGGACGGGACCTCACGTTCTATTCAGCTAAACCTCTCGTGACCTCTAATCGAGACTATCGTGTAGTCGACTTGAAAAATTCGGTGGCGTCTGTCGGTATGGATGACCCAGTTCGTTGTCCACCCAGCTCGGCCACGTGTCCCACTCCAACGCCCTCTCAACATGTGGCCATAATGAGATCGATATCGGCCCATTCTCTCTCACGGTCAAGTTCGGATATCGGATCAAAAGACGACCCGAACGTTCGTGTGCGGGTTAGCTCGAAAGAGGCGATTCGGGTGATTATTAACGCGGTCGATGCACAAATCAATTCCGTACAGGAGATGCTTGGCTACTTCATGAAACTGGTCAAAGCCGAGAAAGCCGTCCAGCAGGCTCTACTCGAATTGATCCCGGAACGTCATGACAGCACCTCGGCATCGCGTTCAACAGGAACTAATGGATCCGTTATCTCTAGCACCGGTGGTTTTCATCGCTTGTTGTCAAATTCCTCCCGACGAAGACGTTCCGTGTTTTCTCCCGTCCACTGTAATCCCACAGATACGGAACTAAATGGAGTGAGTCATTCACATATTTTCGTGACAACCTCTCTTGCATAGATTTTACACGGTTTGGTAAGCTCGACGAATCAGCAAGCGCGAGCCTACTCCACGCGTGCTCTGTTCCACAAAGTTGTGACGGTAGCTCAGTTGGAGAGCCTCATTACTTGTCATCAGTGTCTGAAACGGACCTATATGGAGTGTGAAACAGAACTTCAGTCGCAAGCACATCAGGTTAGTGTTTTGGTATGACGTTTTCCATTATGGTTTTTGCCTGTTCTGTCCACCAGTTATGGCATCCCATTTTCTACCGTTTGCTATGTTTTTAATAAAAGGGGCTTTTCTATGGAGGGAATCTCTGGGATCAAGGGCTTGACTGTGAGCTGTGTAGTCAAGTGAGTCACGGTTCTGTGGCGTGATTTTGTGAGTATAAGAAAGAAACAGGTCTCGTGCTCCAGTGAGTGGCGGTGACCTGTACAGTCATGTATGTGGTGAAGGGATGGCTACATCTCCACTGAAAGGACTACACATTCAACGAATCACGCTGTTCCGGCGAGGAAATTCTGGTTGGCCTTACTCGCCGTGTGTTTGCGGCGTGCTGGTTGTATTCACTTAAGTGGGCAATACTGGGGTGTAACTACCATGCAGCTTTGATGGTTTACTTAAAGTCGTTTACCGAGAAGAACAAAACTGCTTCTGGTTATTGTAGAGGGTCCAGGGACAGCCTACAACTTATATTCAGTGCTCAACATATAAACACGCAGTCAGGGGGAGATGGCACAAGTGTTCAGAACGCGAATCTACTGACCGAAAGGTCCGTGTTTCGAACCCGACCTCTGCCTCTCGACTTCCTCTGTCTAGGCTTGGGCAACCTGGCAGTAACCCTCTCGCAACCTTCGGATGGCATGACAGCTAGACACCGAAAGGGTGCTACAGCTGAACGGTTTTTTAATCTGAACAGAAACATGCAAGCAGACTACCTTTGGTATCAGTTGAAATTCGTATCTCTCTGATTCATTCAGGCACACGGAATGTCATGTGGTTTCCACCTTGGAAGGCCTTACCAGTGGTTAGGTGTGTTCACTAGTGGTTGATCAGGTGGCGAACATCCACTTGATCAGCTAGCAGATTCATCTATTATGAAATTCACTATGAACCCGCTGTTACCATCCCTTACGGAACAATTGTCGATATATAATTGAATTGGAAACCCAATTTTACCCCTTTCTATCCATGATTTCTTCAATAAAAGGTTCATCATTTCAACTGAGTTTCCTCCTTTCGTATGTTAGTAGCAATAAAAATAGTCAAAGTCAGAGAGGGAGAGGACGCGATTTGTCCTGGGACAGTTTTTCAGCCTATAAACAATAAAATCTATGGCCCACATATGATCTTGACATGACCCAGTGGTCAAATCGCGAATTTGCTCACCAGAATGTCCGTGGTTCCAACTCAACCTCTGCATCTCGGCTGCTGTAGGTTTGAGCAACCTGGCAGTATCTCAGCTTTTCGTGCATGGTGCCGGAAGATTTTTGTGGCCCACATTTTACATGCAATACTACTCACTTATGGGCATGCACGACAATGTATAATATCTTTTCTGGTAATTTAAGTGACTTGGTGCCTCATTCGTATTCATCTGTTGTGATTCTTACACCCCATTTCTTTCCCTTTATTTTAATACTAATTCCCACTGGCCGACTCAGTACGCGACCAACATAAGAACTTGTGAGAGGAAATATGCCAAGTACGCTGAACAGATGGTGAATCTTCGGGCGAAAGTTGCAAGTTTATGTGATAAGCGTACGTCCAACTTTGTTTTTGAATTTTCCAGTGTGCCCTTTGTTGCCGAACTCATTCTCATTAGATTCCCACTAAAATGAGACCGTGGCGAGTCGCGGAAAGAAGTTTAATGGCTCGTTTGTTTGATCAGTAGAACCCACTCAATCAGTCAAGCTCGAGATAGTTAGTAGCTAGGGTACAATGTTACTGACCGGGAGTTCCGTAGTTCCAACTCAACCTCTTCATCTGGATTGCTGCTGTGTAGGTTTTGGCAACGGCAGTGTCAGCCCTCGTGCTCCCTTCGGACGATCTGTCGCCTAGACACCGAAAGGTAGTTTGAGCCGAACAATATCGATGACTCATTGGACTTATCAAATTCATAGGTGAATTGCGAAATTTGACCGGTGATAGCATTCTCCCCGAGGTTGCTAGACTCTGCTGTTCGAGTAATTGTCGTTCGCCCATCAGCGCCAGATTGGACGATGAGCAATGTGATCTAGGGATGAGTGACACTATGTCCTGCCAATTGCACTCATATCGACATGGGGGTTTCGAATCCTTTGTGGCCCAATGCCAGGCAATTATTCAGTCGCCGTTAACGGAAGCGATGTTGAAGAACCGCATGCCTCGCTTCGTTGGAGATTCATGAATGCCGTCCGTTGATAACAGAATCCACCGTCACCACACGCCGAAGAGTACTGTCTAACCGTATGATTTTGTTCTTACGACGATATCCTTTACGAGATAAATTACTTGTCTGATATGTTCATGCCTGTAAAAAGACAGGGACTAGCAGTTTATTTTGGACTGGCCGTGACGGTGGGCGATTTATACACCCTTGGGTTTGTTCACGTGGACACTCGTTCCGAAGAATATTTGACCGTATGAGGTCGGTTCTCTATAGAGGAGAATGTCGGTAGCTCAGGTAGCGTAGATGGTCGTTGGCTTGTTCGCTGAGCTGGGCAGTTTGGTTGCAATCGGTGATGAAACGTTTGCAACCAAATTGCCCAGCTCAGCGAACAAGCCAACGAGGTCGGTTCTATTCGAAGCAAGGGTGCATTCCACCTGTTACGATTGGCATACAGACAACTATGTTCGTTGGATTGTAAGATGAGATCAAGCGCTTGTAATTGGTACGAAAAGAGGGAAGATATAAATGTGATCGATAGTATACAAGAATATGCTACTGTTCCGGTTTTCTAGCGCACACACGAATAACTGTGAGACACTAATCTATACGCCTCCTAACAACGAATCGCGATCACTGGAGTCAGTCCGGTCTCGATTTCATGACAGTCCACTTGCCACGAGCATTAGTTTCTTCTTTCGAGTAGGTCGTTTGTCCCTCCCTGGGTGGCTACGGCTGAACCACCGATGTTCATCCGTATATATCGGTGCAATTCTGCCGCAGAGGAATATTTGGCTCCACTTTCCGTTGGCACAATAAGGTGTCATCTCTCCGGTTGTGTATCCTGCATGCTTGTCATTTGTTTGAACGTCATTCTGAAGGTCTTAGCTGTGGTTAGCATTCTTAATTGCTGTAAATTAGACCATTTTGCAAAGGCTGTGCTTTCACAACTCCTTTACTGGTCGTCAGCTCCGTCCACTTTTGTACGCCAGAAAACACGGCATCTGACAACTGCTGGTCGTCACCAGTAAACTGGACCTTATCGTGGTGTGACGGTTTGAGGACCTCAGTAACCCAATAAGCTGCACTAAAGTATGTCCATTTGAAATCCACATAGTCTCTCCCGCCAGGATGGTCAGTGAATTGCAGCCTCCTAGGCCTCTAGGTTGAATGTTCGAACAGGTATAGGATTTTGTTCCTTAAAACCCGGGTTGCTCAAAAAGAGTCACACCCGACCACTGTTGCCTTACGGCCAAGCTTTTGGGCCATAGCCTCTGGCTGAGAACCCTAATCGTCCTTTTGTGTAGGTTTAGATGACCTGGCGGTATCTCTGCCACGAACAGCTGTGTTGATAAGTGATAGCGATGAAAACAGCGCATAGTGAGACAATGAGATTGGTATAGTCGAGTTTATAGAACGCATCACTAGGTGAGCCCCAGGAAAGCCTAAACCGGTCGGGCAACCCTATGAGTAGTGTGTTCACCCCCAGACCTTTGGTAAGGTCACGTTAGCTGTGATAATACGAAGGATGCTGGTTTGTGATTGGTTCAAATCCTGAGCAATCAGTACACGCCTTCCAGCAACCGAATTTCCCCTTACTCGCTCAGGCAGCCCGTCTCCAGCCCGCATTTTTATTTTTGACGATCAGTCGAACGACCGCTGGATGCAATGTGTACAGGTGACCATTCAAGATGAAAACAGTCCGGAAGGTCAGATTCATGAAGATTATCCCAGAATACCGGGAACCTACTGAGACCCTCAAACTTCACTAAACGCCGATCAGACAGCCTTGAATCGAGGTCAAACACTGTACCTAGGCTAACCGAACATCACATTATTTGGACGGATGTGTCACGTCCAGGACACGGACCAAACGAAGGCATGCCCTAATTGGTCAAAATGCCAGCCAATCCGAGTCGAGCATCTTTGACTCGACGCTTCTCGCTCCCTCACGGAGATTCTGGCACGACTTTGTGGGAAACTGTGACTACCCTATGAATAGAGTTGTAGTAATTTCCCTTGGTCTCCATCAAGGGCTGTGTAGAACTGCCGTGCCTTTTGATATACCATAGTGGGCGGAGCAGCAAGCCAAGGGACTGATGCAGAGCTGCACGACCATCCATCAAGTCACAACAGACAGTGCCCTTCAAAACATAGCGCGAGACCGTTGTACTTTCGCACTCGCTTGTTTGGAATAAAGCTGTTGTGCTCCTTGTCGGCAGGAACAGCAGTTACCTGTAACAAAAACCAAAAGATCAATTAGTTTGTCTCCGACGCTGTCCGGTACCCCACCACGTGCACCAATCTCCAAGACTGAGATTTTTCACTTGAAGGCATGGCAAAGTTATCCAGTAATCTCGCTTCGACCCCTCATCTAGAACGTCAGCGTTGTAGGGGAACAATGCACGACTGTTGTCGATACTCAGCACTGTCGCAACTCAGCACCTTAACATCACTAATCCGTTCAGGTAATCCGTTCTGCCACATTATACGACGTTAATTAGTGAATCAAACTCTTGACGTTTGCTTTCCTCATCCGTGGGAGTGGAGTGCTTGCTGGCATTAGGGATGGCTTATCTAAGGTTATCTGCATCGAAACTCTATTGTTTCATCGCCAAAGTTTTGAGGGTAGTCTCATGTTTTTCGGTTGATTAGTAACCGAAATAGTTCCTTTTCTTCTGTGGTCAGATTTTTAGCATGATATGCCTTGACACTAACTTAGTTCCTTTTCTTCTGTGGTCAGATTTTTCGCATGATATGCCTTTCTTACATAACGGAAGCGCCCGTTCCGGGCAGTCCCCCGCCTACCGAACTCTGAAGTAGACATAGTGTCCGACGTGACGGCGAGTCGATGTTTGGACTCCTTACTACATTCCCTAGGGAGATCTTTCCACATCGTTTTGGGGTACATGGACGTAGAATGACGTGTAGTTGGTATCAATGACTGTCACATCGCTCAGTCTCATATTTAGAAGATTCGACAGGGTTATTTTTATAGCATTGTTCTTACCATGAGTTCGAAATAGGGCCCTATCCCCGCCTAAGAATGTTTCTCTCCGTCACGTTTTGTATCACTGTTTCCCTTCCCCATTGTATACTGGTCTTGGTACTCCAAAAGTTCCTTTTAATTGTATTAAAAAGGTGATATTGATCGGCTGATAACCTGTGAATCTACTGGATGCCACAATGTACAGTGTACTAGACTTCGTTTTTCACAGCCTCACACGAACTAGATTCTCCTTTCTCTTACCCCGTAGGCGTTTCCTATCACCGTAAAACGGTCGAGGTGCTCATGAACAATTTGGAGGCCGTCACACGCAAGTTACATCTGATGCACAATGACTACCTTATGGTTGTGTGGACCGCGAACCACTTTCAACAGTGGCTTCACACGCAACTTCGTCCCTGTCTACTGAACGGGATCGAACGAACAATGCAGCTAACGTGTGAAGTGGTGTAAGTCAAGTGACCGATTCTCGCCCTTGTCCTCGTTTGTTCTGTTCAGCTCGCGTACCGATTCTCGCCCTTGTCCTCGTTTGTTCCACTTTTCTGTTCAGCTCGCGCTGGTTTCGCAGTTAAAGTACCGTGAGTTCCTGATCATGGACTACGTAGTTCGAGTGCATTCTCGATTGTTCGATTGGCTCCGTCCAAACCGGCCACTATATCTTCTTCATATCGACGAGAATAGCCACGTGTATCTACCGAGAGTCCTGCAGAATATTTTGGTCATTAAATTTTCGTCCCCTTTTCATTCTATTCTATCCAAATCCAAGTGCCAACTTTTCGAGCAGACAAGTGGTGACCAACCCGTGTCTGTAGGTGTAGGGGGGAGGGTTGAATGGATTCCTGTTTGAGAACTTTGTGCATGTATTTCACCAGATTTTGCACTACGCGCGCTGCAAACCTCTGCTTTCTTTTAAAACACAATCTCAACTCTCTTTCCTTTCTCTGTCTGTCTACTTTTGACCACGTCTGAACGTAAAGTGATTGCGGCTCGACACCTAGAGCATGTGATACACACCTATCAGATTTGTCTTCACTGCCAAAAATGGTTGATTTTTTTGAAAGAATTTTCATGAATCCGCTTTCGTTTGTGAATTTGATGGGAGTGACAAGACAGAGTATCATAACAGGACAGATTGGATTCACTCATTGAGTTTTCGTCAGCTATTATTTACATACAACCGAAATCAAGTTTAAGGAAGGATGACACATGGACAATTCGATGAGAAAACACAAGCAGACGAGCAAGCTTCATGGGACCCCGTCACAGATTTCAAAAAAGTACTAGGGTTGCAGACGTGATTCAATGTCGGCATTACCAAGGTCAGGCACAAATTCTAGTTGCTTACACCAATTGGGCTTCGTCGTTACTTCAGCAACGCGTCATAGGCGCTCGTTTTTTTTTCGACAGTCTATGACCGTGAATAGCTCTCTTCGTTCTTTGCCGTCGTTGCAATCCTGCAAGTGGTGAGTGGTTGTATTGGATAGTATGTTCAGTCTATTGAGTTTTTTGGGAGATGTTTGGAGATTAACTTTATCATCATCATTGATAGCAATACACATAACAATATATAGTGCTACTTAACTGGTTATTCCGACATGCGTTCTACCGCAAAAACATTGAATAAGGTACGCACAAAGAGTCTGGTTTGTTTAGGCTGGTTATTATAACCATTCGTTGTGTCTGACGATAACGTTTGCTCACTGTAATGTTTTCACTGACCTGTGTGTTTGTCCGTCAAATTATCCGTCCGTCAATTTTGTCTATCCTTCCTCCTGATTGAGAGCTGATGAGGCCACGAAAGAGTTCAATTCAATCTATTCTGTCGTGATGCTTCTTCATTTGCGTAGCAATTTGGTTTTCAAGGAAGAATCACCTGAGTTCCAGCTGAATCTCCCGTTTCTGATATTTTTCTTCGGCTGAACAAGTGTATTTCGCTAAGTTCGTGCAATTCGGGTTCATCTAGAACATAAGGTTAACGATGGAAACTCGGGGACTGTGCCTACCTGATGAGCCTCAAGAAGAGCGAAACCGGTTGTCAGCTGTCGAAGGGTTTTCAGCAACCTTATGAGTAGTGTGTTATGTCTAATGTATGGTTCGTTTGGAAATTTGTGCAAGTATCACCTTATTCTACTTTTATTTACCTCACAGTGGTCAGTCGGTGGTTATTCTGTTCCTTTAGCTATTTTTATTCCTATTATTTCGTTCACCAGTCGAGGTGAAGTCATCAATATGTTCCACTACACGGACACATGACTCTCCGAGATCACAACGCCATTCTAGCGATAGTGAATGAGCCAATATGAGCTTGTGGAGCTCAAGTTGACGATTCAGCCGGAACCAATTAAGTCTTCATCTTGAGCAGTCGGCCTCCTCTTCTCGAGCGTTTGTTCTTGTCCACAAGAGCTCGGGAAAACTCTTCTTAGAGCTCATCAACACTGGACGTTCCTGAGGTGATTCCATTGCATCACCACTTCGGCACTAAGTTACTCGTAATTGGCTAACATCACCTCATTCATGATAGCACAGACAGTGTAGCTATGGCCAGCTCAATACCCAGTTTGGTTTTCAGTCCAGAGCCAGGCTATGAACAGTTCGTGCCCTCAAGAGCACGCTTTTGGATCAAAACCCTAGTCTATTTCTCCTTTATAGGAGAACTGGTGCGAAACAACGCATCTTTCGGGATGAGTATATTCCAAAGTCAAAATCCAATGCGCCCTTTTTCAAACCGGAACTAGGATATCTTGCAAAAAGGAATGTATCACGCTTAATAAATCCACCGATTGTTTACCAAACCCCTCTGAAAAAATGTATCACGCTTCTTGTGTGTGTGCGCCCTAATGCCTTCTTCAAGTCACTGCTACTACTCCGCACTCGTTTCTACCATTTCCAGTTTCTCATGACATCCAGTCGCGTCGTAAAGTTGTGCGAAAAAATTCGGTTTCATGACTGGTCGTTTGCACGTGCACCTTAACTGGTATACTGTGATTGATCGGGCTAACCCTTTGCACGAGCAGAAATCGTTCCAAATGTCGTTTGGTATGCACGGAACACTGCATAACGGTGTTTGACCGTCCGAACAATTTACACTGCAAATGGTGGCTGAAATTTCTGCGCGAATATTCAACTGGTGTTTGTGATGATCGATGTCCAAGTACTGTAAACCCACCGGCTTCGCTGAAGCCTGTCCTGATGTGACGACTCCCTTAACCGGTGCTGAGTTTGATGCTTTTTCCTCCACTTGATTTGTGCACATATTTTGTCCCCAACGCGCCCCTATGTATCTTCCTCTGGGTAGCATGAACCCATTTGCGTACACTTTTAGATCTCTAATGATTGCTTGTAAGCAAAAAGACCCATGTGGTTGCAGCATCCTTTCTTTAGTGTATTTGGTCCAACGGTAATTTTGTTCAGGTCACCGGTTTGTCCAGTTGAAGAACCTGCGAAGGCCGCCTGCAGTTCTTCCCACTTCCCGTACCCACACCTTATTCCTCTGACATCCTGTTGTTCTTGTTTTAATTGTAGGCGACATCTGCTGGTGTTCGGTGGCGAAACAGTTCAGGACTCTTCACCCTCTTGGTTAATGGAATTACAGGTCAACCGCAATCTGTCTACTTTGCTCGAACAACACGGGTGAGTATCATTTCATTGTACTGGAGTGGGATGGCTGACCGGAAGGTCCGTCGTTCGGACCCGACCTCTGGCTCTCAACTTTTTCTGTCTAGGCTTGGGCAACTTGGCAGTAGCCCAGCCCTCATGTTTCATTTGGATGGCTTGGCAGCTAGGCACCGAAAGGGTTTTACAGCTGGACAATTTTTAATTTTTTTACTGGCTTTTCTCATCCCCGCTTCACTGTAGCGACGTATCTTTTCGATGGTATCTGGGGCGCGATAGATTCGTCTGTCTCTTGGCAGCTAGGCACCGAAGGAGTGTTACACCTGAACAATATCAGTTTGACGAACAAGCGATGAATGCTGTGAACATGGGTTCATTCTGAAACGCCTCATACGAGTTATTCATCTCCCTCGCGGCTAAACTAGTTGTTTATCTAAAGCTTTCGACTCTTGCCATTGACGGTGTCTTCTAAGCTGGCAATCTAAACATTTCCATGTAGGTAAATATGAGCAAACGGATGCAGTTCAGGAATTTGTGCTGAATCGCTGTCCACGAACTAGGAAGTTGACAAAATCATAAATATTGCTTTATAACTGACTACACGTGAGTGAATTCGTCCATTTTACAGCTGCCGGCCGTTTTTTGCCGTATATTTTCAGCGAGGAGTCTCACCATCCAGTGCGTTAGCGTTCTTCCAAAATGAAATGTATGCAGTTGCCCTCCAGTGGATCAACCGTCTTTAGAGATAGACCAAAAGCATAGCATTTGGGGAGCATTATGGTTGGTAGAAAAAATTCAAGAAGCGACCGAAATTGGTCTCTTAGAGTGGTTTCTCTGGGGTTCCCACCATGTTCTGTCAGCACCATATTAAGCTTAGTTTTGTCTTGGAGGCGTTTGCCTTGACTGTTCTGATCATATGTTCATTCCATTCAAGCGGAACTTTGTTCGGCGGTTTTCTGCCAATGGTAGAACCATCTAACCCAGCGACTATTGAGTCTTCCGTAACAAATCCGATTAGGCACTGTCCTATTGTTAGGCAAGTGAAAAATGGCTTTCTCTGAAGAACCTGCGAAGGCCGCCTGCAGTTCTTCCCACTTCCCGTACCCACACCTTATTCCTCTGACATCCTGTTGTTCTTGTTTTAATTGTAGGCGACATCTGCTGGTGTTCGGTGGCGAAACAGTTCAGGACTCTTCACCCTCTTGGTTAATGGAATTACAGGTCAACCGCAATCTGTCTACTTTGCTCGAACAACACGGGTGAGTATCATTTCATTGTACTGGAGTGGGATGGCTGACCGGAAGGTCCGTCGTTCGGACCCGACCTCTGGCTCTCAACTTTTTCTGTCTAGGCTTGGGCAACTTGGCAGTAGCCCAGCCCTCATGTTTCATTTGGATGGCTTGGCAGCTAGGCACCGAAAGGGTTTTACAGCTGGACAATTTTTAATTTTTTTACTGGCTTTTCTCATCCCCGCTTCACTGTAGCGACGTATCTTTTCGATGGTATCTGGGGCGCGATAGATTCGTCTGTCTCTTGGCAGCTAGGCACCGAAGGAGTGTTACACCTGAACAATATCAGTTTGACGAACAAGCGATGAATGCTGTGAACATGGGTTCATTCTGAAACGCCTCATACGAGTTATTCATCTCCCTCGCGGCTAAACTAGTTGTTTATCTAAAGCTTTCGACTCTTGCCATTGACGGTGTCTTCTAAGCTGGCAATCTAAACATTTCCATGTAGGTAAATATGAGCAAACGGATGCAGTTCAGGAATTTGTGCTGAATCGCTGTCCACGAACTAGGAAGTTGACAAAATCATAAATATTGCTTTATAACTGACTACACGTGAGTGAATTCGTCCATTTTACAGCTGCCGGCCGTTTTTTGCCGTATATTTTCAGCGAGGAGTCTCACCATCCAGTGCGTTAGCGTTCTTCCAAAATGAAATGTATGCAGTTGCCCTCCAGTGGATCAACCGTCTTTAGAGATAGACCAAAAGCATAGCATTTGGGGAGCATTATGGTTGGTAGAAAAAATTCAAGAAGCGACCGAAATTGGTCTCTTAGAGTGGTTTCTCTGGGGTTCCCACCATGTTCTGTCAGCACCATATTAAGCTTAGTTTTGTCTTGGAGGCGTTTGCCTTGACTGTTCTGATCATATGTTCATTCCATTCAAGCGGAACTTTGTTCGGCGGTTTTCTGCCAATGGTAGAACCATCTAACCCAGCGACTATTGAGTCTTCCGTAACAAATCCGATTAGGCACTGTCCTATTGTTAGGCAAGTGAAAAATGGCTTTCTCCGTCTTTCACTGGTGCGCATTTTCCCTCATTTTCCCCTACATCTAGTCTTCAGTTCCCACCTCCAGTCCAGTATGAGTTCAATGCGGCCTTGTTGCACAATGTTCCGCCCAAAACATTGTCACCCACGTCTCTAGCCTACAACGACTTGACTCGGCAGTCATTTGGAGACCTGTAAGTTGTCATTTGACTTTTGGGGTTGACCGTGACATCTGGTTGCTATCTGTATGTTTTACGCTGTGACCTATGCTCTCTCCTTCCCGAAGCATGTACACCTACCGAAATCGAGAAATGTCACATCGACAAACCGTGGATCAGATCACTCGCGAATGTCTACAGTGGGAAGAAGCATTGGCCCAGTGGCGGGCGGTCTTCGCGATCCCGCTGCCGAATCCCTGGTTGCATGCTCTGTCGAATGATGGCGTTCGGAACATGGCTATGGATTCGGTCACGTCAACTGCTTCATCCGTTGTCAATTCGTCCATAGAGGATGGTACGGCTGCTTTGGATGGTAACGGTAGCGGATGGCCGGTTTCGGCAAACGGGATACCGGACATTCAAGAATTGTGGCACGATGATCGTGCTCGACCAGTCAAGTGAGTTTGTCCATCATGCGACCGTAATGGTTAGCCAATTCTCTCCGCCATTGGAAATCAAGATAAATTTCCAGTTTGCTTCACGTCTATTCCAACTTCCTTTAGTTTTGGGTGCTTTTTGTCATCGAAGGAACACTTGATTCAACAGGCACCCCCAACTTGGATTTTGCAATATTCGGTCGACTTGAATACGACGTTTGGAGTTTGAGGTGACTCAGAGGTTAAGGTGCGAACTTTTTGACCGGAAGGTCCGTGGTTCGAACCCAACTCTGACAACTTCATTGTTTCTGATAAGTAGTGGACTTTGGTACTATCTCAGCCCTCGAGCTCCTTTTAGGTGGCATGACAGCTATGCACCGAAAGGGATCGAGGAGCACTGAATTTTCCACATTTTGTCAGTCTATGTTAGTGGTTTTCCCCTTTGCTTCCACAGTGTTATGGCTTTTTTATGCTGTACTCGAGTCAGTTCTCACAACCGTTGGTCAATACTAATTCTTCCAGAACTTCCTGTACCCTGACAAACTTTGGGCAATACTATTTCTTCCAGAACTTCCGTCTTAAATAAGTCGAGCTTTGTCAATGTACTTTAAATGTGGTCCTCTTGTCCATCCCTCTTTCTTAGTCTGTGCGAGGTTTCCTATCGTCTCACAGTATGTGAGTTCGAACTACGCTTTGCCACTTGCCTCGCCGAGGCCCACGCTGAACTTGTTTCCCGAATGGCAGAAGCGCAAAATCGATTGGCTCCGAATCCACTTGATTTGCCCAATAACAGTATGTCATTCGATCGCTTACCTGAGAGACCACCGTCTACAGGTGGTCGAGGCCTACCGGATTTGCTGGAAACACCAGTATCACTTTCAAGCCTTAATGTGAGTTTTTTTGCCGTTTACTATTTTCATTTTGAATAATTTCCACTTATATTCTCCGACAGAGAATTCCACAGCCAAGCAGGAAGCATCAAGCTTCCACGGATTCATACATACCAATATCAATTGCAGGCGGATACAAATCACACCACGTTTTTTTCTGCCTGCGAACGAAATAATTTTTGGAAACTGGTGGTGGGTCCAGAATTTCGGTAGTTCCGGAATCCACAAGAATCGTTGACTTGTCACTCATTCATGTTCGATGATGTCGACTGATCTGTTATGCGTCAAAATCTTACTGTAGAGTTAGACCAACTTACCACATACCGCTGACAGCGCGTTTTTGACAGACAGGTACATCATTTTTGGCCGCGTGTATACGCAGATGAGTTCAATGCTAATGTTGTCTGACTTCCACTATCTTTCGGGGCCATCATTTATGCACTTCCTGCATTCACTCGTACCTGTCTACCCTGCTACGTTGACCGGTGAGGAAGTATGGTTACGTGAATCTCTTCCGTGAGCCGGCCACTCGTCTAACCAATACAATGTTCCCCCCAATGCAGATTTGCTTCTAGGAACTAGGACCTCTTAACAAGGTAGACTGTATCGAGTTGTGTACACATTACTATCAGCCCTGGAATGAACGGTGACGTCTTATTCTCACTGGATAGACTGCTCGTTCCCCTACTCCGGCTGAAACAGCGATTGAGCGGTGTCGTTTTCCCTACAAGATATCGATGATTACATCACGACGTTCCTTACACACCTAGCCCTTCTGGTCGAGTTAGTATATCGTCTCCTTAAAGGCGAATACCTCGGACAAGGGATCATCTCCCAGAGCTCGAGATGACCCAGTCGTTAAGGTGCAAATTACTGAATGAAAGGTTCGAGGTTCGAACCCAACATCTGCTCCTTTCTATTCTTGGACAACTTGGCCCTGCTGCAGCTAAGCACTAAAAGAGTGCTACTGCTGGGCTGTTTTTTATATTTTTTCCACCATTGGGCGAGATGGCCCAAGTGATTACGGCGTGAATTTACTGACCGAAAGGTCCGTGGTTCGGACCCGACCTCTGCCTCTCGACTTCCCCTGTCTTGGCTTGGGCAACCTGGCAGTATCTAAGCCCTCGTGCAACCTTCGGGTGGCATGGCAGCTAGGCACCGAAAGGGTGCTACAGCTGGACGGTTATACAGACCAGTGGATCGTATTCGAACAGATATCTACCATGCTCCAACTAGGGGGTTAATAGTACGCCTTTCGGAAGGCCTTTAGCAGTAAATATCGGATACTGTGGCACGCCGGTGCCGCGTGCTCATGCGTTCAAACCCTGTCACAACGGTATCCTTATGATTAATAAACCCAGTCAACTCAACCGCGCAATAACTCGCACGCGAGCTTGATCTCTCAATACGTCACTGTTGTGTTTATTCGCGCACATTATGCCCACTCTGCTTAACAGTCAGGTATGTTTTCTAGCTTCGTGTTCGTTAGCTCGATATATCTCCGATCGGTGGATCTACAAAAAATAACCTGTCCTCTCCTGAGTGACGAGGTCGACCAAAAATCGGTTAATAGAACTGGTAGTTTATGTCAGGAGAGACCTTGTAGATGCAGCTCACTGTATTTCGAATAACGGCATCCCCTTCGCTACGGCAGAACGAGGCAGACCATGATTTCTGTTGTATTACTTTCTAATCTTAGAGGTAAGAGTTCACAGTTGATGGGTAACATGGATAAATTAGCGACCGGACCACGGTTACTTGACTGGTAAACTTTTGATGTTTTTGATTGTAATGACAAACGGTATATACATGATTTAGTAATCATCTCAAGAGAGTCCACTTCCCCGCATAGTCCACCACTACCCACTCCACGGGTGAGTGTTACATTCTTCCGAAGAGAGGCCAGAAACTCCTCTTTCATTGGCATCTACCTTCGAAGGGAGGTTACTGTGCTCGTTCTTTCGAACGCTAATTCGTTTGCCGCACCAAACAAAAGAAATAATTCATCCGCGACAGATCACACGTCGTAAGTTTCGCTTGCTTGGTCACATGCTCCTCATGACAGTTGACCGACTTCTTCAAATTGCTTGTTTTGCGCAAAGACACGAGGGGTGGAAACGAGGTCAAGTGATATCTTGACAGCGAAATGTGAAAGGCATGGGCAAATTCAGCTGCACTGAGCATTACCGTCTCCATAGATGGGGACCACGAGACAGAACACATCAATGGTTAGACACTGACAGATGACCCAGTCGTGCAACTACGCAGCTCTCCTTAATGAAAGGCCCACTGCCATTTTCAATTCATACCAGCTACTGTCTCTAATATGTCATCTTGAGTAGCCTAACAGTAATTTAACCTTCGCCACTGGAACAGCTGCTTGTTCGCTCTGCGCAGGAAGGTTCTATGCGAGATGCAGACATTACATGTTCTCAATGACGCATGTGCCATCTATTTCTACATACATTGTGATGTTGTAGGCATCTCAGGAATCTATTGCTCGAGTATTCTTCTGAAGAACCTCCTAGAATAAGCCACTGCTGATCCCACAGCAGGGAAACATCATTGTGGAGGTTGGTTTTTTTTACTGTCTAGGATTACGATGGCAGCACACCTGCTGTATGTCTGGCGAATTCGTAAGTGAGTGGAATTTCCGCACTCCATTGAGTCTCCTGTCATGAGCAAACTAGTGTTTTAATGAGAGCGGTTGTCCGACTAGCCGAGTTGGTTTAGCGTCATTAGTTCAATCTCTCGATGACGTTGGTGGTTCACTCATGTTTAGGCTGGCGTGAGATGGCTCAAGTGGCTAGAGCGCGAATTTACTGACCAGAAGGTCCGTGGTTAGAGCCCGACCCGTGCCTCTTGACTTCCCCTCTCTAGGCGTGGGCAACCTGGCAGTATCCAAGCCCTCGTGTTTCCTTTGAGTAGTATGGCAGCTAGGCACCGAAAGCGTGTTACAGCTGAAGGATTTCTTTTCATTCCGTTATCCTGTATTTCAGTTAGGTGATTTGAAACAAGCATCGACACTTTATTTGTCCTCTCATCCTATTTTTTTGCGAATGACTCAGTGGACAAAGTTGACCTGAATCTGTGTGCAATGCTCTTCAGCATCGAATTATTGTTTTCCATCCTTTCACTTCGTCATTGTTCACATATTACTTTTTCCATCCTTCTTTGCCGCACAGTCTCCCCGGTTGATGACTTCTGCTACGTCTGACTGCATCGTACGTTCTACCGCCGCAACCCCAGAGCCCTCTGGAACGTCCTACAACGGAATCAGCAAAACAAATAGTATGTACGCTTCCGACGCCAGTTCTCTGATGAGTTCGCGACCCAACACAGGAAACAGATTGTGGAACAGTTTTTGATATTCCATGTCCCGCTTGCGGTCCCATTTCACTCGATCCGGTCCACTTCGAAGTTCGTTACAATCGGGCTCATCAAGACCCAAGTGGCGTGCAAAAACACCAAAGGACTCACCCGCCAGCACATTGGCAAACAATATGGAACAGGAAAAACCCAGCAGACCAAAAGTGGTAATCGAGCGAGAGTATAATCCCGACAGTGCGACTGTAAATAACGGACGATCATGTCTCACACCAAGCGCGGTGCGCAGCCACCATTTGGTCAGTTCCACCACTTCGTTACAAATTACCCCACGGTCAATGAATAATGGTCTACCTCCATTGCACAGCCCGGCCTCTCCAGTCCCCGGGATGAATTGTTGTAAGTTATCTGGACGAAAAACACTTCCTTGTCATGTGACTGGCCTCGCGCTAATTGATAGATGGTAGGAATCACGTGACACGCTATTTGTCTTTCACAATACTAGCGACAGATGTTTTAGTGACCATACAGCCGTCTCGGGAATAAAAAAGATATGATGGATTGACTTGTCACACGGTCTTCTACTTCTGTTTGCATACACCAACAAGAACATTCTGAAGTAATCAGTGGCTTTTTTTATAAAAGAAACTACTCACAAGGTTGCTGAAAACTCTTCGACAGCCCACGACCGGTTTCGCCCTTCTTGGGGCTCATCAGCTACGCGCAGTTCCCGAGTTGCCGTCAACCTTGTGTTCTACTTAAACCCAAGTTGGATCGCTTTTGAGAAATATACTCATTTGCAAATCAATTTGGTTTTCACGAGAGATTCAACTGAATCTCTCGTTTGTGATATTCTACAACTGACTATTTTTTCGTTTATCCACAGCAGCTGTAAAATTTTTGTGTTTTTCTTCGCGTCCCAGTCGGCCTTCCCTAGGTAGGGCATTCACATAGCCTGGAAAAAAAGAAGAACAGTTGTACTGCACATTTTTCCTTCCATTTCAACGTGTCTGCTAACTTCTCAGTCTCTTATTTACTCTGTCGCCACTCCGTATTGTCCCGTCCGCAACCCATTTCCAGACCAAAACTGTCTGTTACCAGCCCTCCACCCGATTGGGAATACGATGGCTGTTGACTGTCGCGCCTAAAATAGATCGTTTTATGGGGTGAGCAACATTTCCGTCCGACTAGCAGTTAGTCTGGTTGAACCATGCCAGATGGGGCATTCGTGTCAATTGACAGCAGCGGTGGGGACCTTCTCAATTCTATTGTCAGTAGGTTGTCACGCTGACTGTTTCGTCCCGTAAACCCCTACGATACTCGAAAGGCCGGTTGATTACCCACCGACTATTTTGCTTTCTTATTCGTTACACAATCGAAAAACTATTCATCAGGATGATTCGACGCTGAAATGCTTTAAAGAACCCTCCTTTTTGAAGCATTTTTTTTAATCTGGTGACTGTCCAGACTAACAGCAGCTGGTGACTGAACTCAACTGCGTGAACTGTTTGACCATAAAGGACCTACCTGAGATGCCAAATCTTCGTATTTTATTGATCCAGTCAAGGTTTTTCATCTATTGCTGTCAGTTACAACAGCACTTATACAAGAATCAGGCCGGATAGACCTGGGCTGAGCGGTTTTCTGGGTTCTTCCAGTTCAATTCAGTTTTTCAGTCATAGACCGCGTTTGAATTTGCCACGGTCTCATTCCCCACCAGGGTTTCGGAGAAAACCGGATAAGTAGCGATGCGTTTTAGGCGAAAACCTCTTCAATTTATTATCTTCCTGTTATGTTTTTCTGATGAAACTGCGATGCAGAAATGCCACTGATTGGTTCAGTGACCCCTTTTGCTAATTCCTCAGACCGTGTCTCATCCCAGGGCATTCGCTGATGCGATCGAGGTCTCTTGTGCTTTGATCGTAGGTCATGAGCCTTTTCCAACCTACTATCTTTCTTCCTCCCTTCACTTCCTGGTTCGCTTAAAAGGATTCCTGGTGCAGACGACCCTCGTGCATACAACTACTTGACTCGAGCAGTGAAGCTGGTCTGTCGGTCGCTTAGCCAACTATCCGCTCTTTTAGGCCATCTGCAAACCAAAATCTTGATTGTGCCGAGGGTGAACGCAAAATGCTATTTCGGACTCTTTCATCCTCAGTCGACATTCGGCCACTGCTTCACTTTAATTTTAAAGACGTTAGTGTGAACAAAGGCATTCAACATATTGATATGTGAGCGCCCTGTTTTCTAGTGTAGTTTTTATCGGCTGTATCCCTCGTGTGCTAGAAATGGTGTATAGAGAATCATTGCTTGTGGCTTTGTTAAGTGGATAAATGACTAGGCTAGAATCCCCCTTTGCACCATTTCTGACAATGTCATTAACCGTTGGTGCGTTGAGTCTCGGGATCTTCATCCAGACAGGCGGAAGTTGTCGGTCAGGCTTCGAATAAGCCCGCTTGCTTACTTCTGTCAGCTGTGTTTGTATAGGCACCGAAGATGGGAACATTTATGCGAACTGGAGTAATTCATCTACCAAGTAACTGCTCTTTAGACTCTTTGGTACTCCATGCAAGCATTGAAAACCTTTGTTCTCCCCTCCGTCATCCTCAGCGGGACACACTACTCCACTGCCTCCAGGTTATAGGACCGCGCAGCAAAGCTGCAACGGACCCAACCCCAGTGATGACTGTCCCACAATGACGGTGAGTCTCGCTCGTTTGTCTGTTTAACCTGTTCCATCTAGGCTCTTTTTCACCCACCGGATCACCACTCTACTATATAGTATTGTGCCATTCACCAGTTTCTCTGGCTCGTTTCGTTCTAAAGTTCCATCTCTCTCTCTTTCTTTCTTTCTCTCTCTCTCTCTCTATCTATCTCTCTGGATATCACTCGTATACAACGATAAAAAAACTTCTCGATCTGTGGTATACGACCGGGGGTTCGACTAGCTAGCTTTATCCTCCGTTCATGCCACGCATATCGCTGGGCGGTTCTTCTTGGGAGCATTCCTGTACATGTACTTTAACAATTTTGGTCTTGTAAGAATGCACAATGAACTAATTTGGAACTCCTCCGACCCATCAATTCAGGATTTTGGCACCCACACTAGCCGACAAGAGCCGTTAATTGACACTCAACACTGATCTAGTGTGAAGAGGACTTACTGATTGGTTCCTCGTTTGTCTTATAACCTGACCAATTCGGTGACCTGTTCACTTGGCCTGATGAAGCTTTTGTGTCAAAAGCGAAACGTTGCCCAAATAAAAGCTACCGATTGTTTATCAAGCTCTTCTGAAACCTGTGAATCTTGCTTTATCGCTGCGAATTCCGGTTTCTGCCATCTGAAAACATCAGACACTTTCAACCATTTGGCAACTGCTGTCTTCGGAGCTTAGTGGGAGACAGGTGAGTGCAACGCGTACGCGACGATGTGATGCGTAAGCGAGCAGTTTTTAAAGAAGCAGAATCACCATATGTACCGAAGACAGTGTTTCTTTCAACCCCTATTCGATGCTGTTGAGCACTTCGTGGTGGACAGGCTATGACATGACAACGTGAAATGGAGCTACCTACAGTCGATTCGTTACACTTATGTGATTCTCTTCGCTCTTGGTTTGTAACCCTACAGGATACCGCACCCTTACCGGTTCCAGCTGTGACCTCAATGTCGCATCCCAACTGGACTGTGTAGCTCAGGTTTGTCTGCTGTTCGCAAAAGATTCCGGTTCGGTCCCGCTGATTACACCTATTCAGTGTGATGCTCAGATGTGCTTGTTTCCTTGCCGAGTTTCCTTCCAGAGTCGGAAAGCTTTTTTGCACTCGGTCGGATCCTTCCCCTTGCTTTCCATTCCCTACTGACTCTGGTATTGTTCCCCCCGTATGTTTGGTAGGTAGGCAGCACCGGTGTACTGCTGTTCGGCTAGCCTGGACGGTTTTTCTACTGATCTGCATTTGAACAGGTGTGTAGAAGTAATGTGGTTTTGTCCTCTCCAGGGCATGTTAGGAGGATGTGGTATCTGATTCAAGCGAGACTAAATGTTTCACCGATCCGGAGCAGCGTCGTGCATTTTTTACACGCATGTGGATCGACACTGAATCGTTTGTACTTCGTCCAAACGATGTTTCGAATCATTTTGCTCAATTGCTGTGTTTTTCACTGGATCGATCGACCCGTATTGCACATTCATTCATTCAATCTGACTGGACTGAATGATTGCACTGCGGTTGCTGCGTTGCGGTACTCACATTTTGGTGTCTGACTATGTGAACTCCGCCGCCGGACTTCACTAAAGTTAGTCAGCTGCTGATGAATTTGGCTGTGCGTGGTTTCAGGGCTCTCAGCTCAACATCTCCTCAATCCATGTCAATAAATTGTGTCCATTACAACATCACAACATCTTTGAGTTGGTTCGAATTCCAATCCTCACGGGCGAGGTACAAGCATTTTGCTGACTTCACGAGCGCGAGTTTTTAGAAATTCTGGGTTTTGCGGGATAGGTATTTTGTTCATAGTCACACCACTCTCTGCTCATCGGCAGTGCATATCCAATGGCCGTGCTGGGATTTGAACCCCGGACATCTGACATGCGAGGCGAGTGTGTAACCACCACTCCACCCACACACGTTGGACGCATCCGAATTATCGCGTCTGAACAGGCGAACATGTTCACACTTCAGCGATGTGTTTGGTGTGCCCGAAATTTCTGTCCATAACACTAGTCCTGAATTGTAAAGATTCATCCTTTTGTGGAATTCTAAAAGCTTCTACACATAGATTCGGATCTTCGTTGCCAACCTGGACGACGTCATCAGTGCGCTGTTGTGAGACAAACTAGATCGTTCGTTAAGTACTTTTATATGTACTGTCGAAAGGGGGTGACCCTCAGCTACGTTTGCTTGTTTCGGTGGACAGTCTTGTCGGTTGAATAGCTTGCTGGTGTTCTGGTTGGCTGGCGTTCGGAAGACCTTTCAGCCTGACCTATTTGTTTCGTGTCCCATGGTCCATGTCAGTTTGGTCATACTGTTGGTTCCGCCACGTGATTTCCGATTGCGCTTACTTTATGTATAGTCGAGCTGTATTGGGTTTGTGAGGCTTTACTCGTACAGGCGTGTGTTGGCGTACTGAACCCGCCGCAGAGTACCCTGCTTTCCGGAATTCAGTTGTGCATTTTGCATGTCTGCGCGCCTCGATCTTCACGTTGCCCAGATCATTCAAATGGAAACCAAGGGGCGAGATCGCCCAGGTGGTTAGAGCGCGAATCCACTGACCGGAATGTCCGTGGTTCGAACCCAACCTCTACCTCTCGACTTCCCCTGTGTAGGTTTGGGCAACCTGGCAGTATCCCAGCCCTCGTGCAACCTTCGGGTGGTATGGCAGTTAGGCACCGAAAGGATTCTACAGCTGAACGAAATGGAAACCAGACAAAGTTGGTCGGACGGTTAGTTCACCAACAGGAGTTTATCGTTCTTTGACAGTTCACCCATTACGTTTTCTCGGATGGTGACGAAACGTTTGCAAACAAATTGTCAGGCACACTGAACAGGCTACGATTCAATGAATCAATTAGCCGAGAAACCTGCAACATTCATTCTGTGCACCTTTACGTTAAAGGTATCGCAAAGTCAGTCGGAAACTGCAAGCACAGTTGATTATTAAACAGACAGATCCTACGACAAGAATCAGTTTTTCGGGTCCTAGGCTACGAATCGGAGAGGGCATGCTTCAAAGTCACTATTCAGAACACGAGCAAACAGCCTAGTGGGTGTGATTATCCGACGATACACTGTCAGATTATCATCCATTTCAGAAACAAGCACGAAAACTTCATCGCAGCTCTACTAAAGCATGGGCCTATTGAGAAGAGCGTTGTCCGGTCGTTTTTAACTACCGATTGTTTACCATGCCCTTCTGAAACGGTGATTTCTCAATCGGTTCCGTTATTTTTTCCAAATGCTTGGTATATTGTCATGTCATTATTCGTTCTTGCCTTCATAGCCTTGCTGTTTGTCAGTTGCTCGTTTTACCGGTGGCATGTTGTGTGGTTGCCGAAACTAAGGTACTAACGTACCGTTCCATCGCCAATTGGGTTGACATCGCCGGTGCCCTGTCAAGTAGCGTCAGTGATAGCACCAAGTAGTGGTGCGCACGCATTCGCCCTGCCAAGTGGCCCTAAATCGCGGTGGATTTTTTGGGCCCGTAGTGGATGGCTCATTAGCCTATGTCCTTATTATTTGACCTCTACGTCACCCTTGACCTGTCCACTGGCCGACATTTGGCTATTACCATTCCGTGTTTCATGCTATGACTCTCGTTGATGGGTCTTTGGGGCGATTCCAATATCTCAGTTGATCGGTTCGATTGATCACTGTGGTGAAGTCACCAGCCCCTCTCAAGAAGTGGTGTGTACGTTTGGTCCAGTTTGGTGTGTTAACTGTTTTGTGTGACGTCACTCTTCCCTGTGTTCTTTTGCTCCTCTCATATCTCTTGGAGCCGATATTTTCACATTTCCCAAATATAGTTTGTCGTTCTCTTGAGCTTGGTGTATTAAGTTCAAGAATAACTGATCGCGTTTCCAATTTACCGCATTATTTGGTCTCATTCAGATACATAGATTTCTTTCAGCAACTCCATCACAAAACTTGTCATGGCTGGTGGGGCCAGTCTGCGGTACTCTGTTGCTTCCCCTGCTTTTGTCACCATTCCCATTCGGTTTTGAAATCATTTTAAGCCGGATAACGATCGGTTGGAGGACCGTTAACTTGATTGTTTGTTCTTGCTGATACTCCAGGTGAATTTCATTGAAATCGTAGTACTGCGATGTCTGACATCTTGAATCGATCTTGTAGACAGCTTCGTTTGTAGTTCATTGACTGGCCGCTGCTCCAGTCGAATGCTTAGTCGACGCATTCGTTTTTCTGATATAGGCAGGCTTCAAGTGTTCTGTCTGGATACATTTTTTCCATCAGGACCCGATTGTTCTTTTCAATTCTGTCGTCTATTCGACAGTTTGAAACTATAAGAAAAGTAAAGTCGTGCGCATTTTCTACTGAATTCTGTTGCATAGTAACAGAGGTATCGTCTGAGTGGCGAATCCACGTTTTCGGTCTGACAATCGGCAATGTAGTATTCTCCAATTACTGTATCACTGTGTTGTGGACCACAGTCTCCTTAATGCCTTCTTATTCCCGTGGAACCCCGTTCTGGATAGCCTACTGATAGCCTGGTGCGCTTGGTCAAACCAGAAAAAGTCGACGAAC